CCAGAGATTTAAAAGAAAAATAAATAAATAAATAACCCACCACACACTGAATGTTTGCTGTGAAAAATACAAAAGTATGAAAACTTTCTAATCTAATACTCCTACACTTCACATATAGCAAAATATAAACTTGGTTACAGCTTGGGAGCATTAAAAACTCCTCAGATCTTAAATATTTTATTTGCTGTTAACAACTTCCTGAAAATAACTTAAAAAATGCATAAAAACAATGCTAGCATCTACTTAATTCTAATTGAAAACATAATTCTTTGTTTCCTATTGACTCAAAACACTAGTGCCCCCAAGTGACATTTCATTATACAATATAGTTTTCTGGTTTTGTAAAAAACCCAACAGATTATTTCAATTGCTTTGCACAATGCTGAGAGAGAACAGAAAGACACGCTTGCAAGCAAAAGTCAAACTTAAACGATACTGAGATTTGTTTGGGAGGGTTTGAGGGGAAGGAAGAGGAGTAGTTTACCTTTTCATTTTCTAACTGTTCTGAAACTGCAAATTGTCAAAAATTGCAACATCAGCATAAAGCAGGATTTACTTCATCTGCTAGCTACTCATTAGTCTTTTCTATACAAGCCATCTCAACACTCAAGTAGCTCTTTGCTTGTTCTGGAAAGGATTTCATAGGTCTCTTTTCCAGTCTGTTAATCTTGCAATATATTCTTCTGAAATTGCATGTCCTCTCTGGCTTCCCAAAGATATGTCATGCTTTCTAGGTTATCAGCGAGTGAAGAAGCTTAAAAGCAAAGATTTGAAGAGAACAGCCCAGAGACTGCCAGACCTCATTAAATCTAACATCTCTTATACAGCACAAGACTGGTTACATTCTCATTTATTTTTCCATAAAATGTACATGTGAAAAAAACCCTCTATTACGTTCTTGAAGAGTTCCAATATACTGGTTTATAATTATAATAATATTGTAAATGACTAGTAAAAATAAAATGACAATTAAGATTTGGGCAACTTGCTCTGATCTTATATAATACTTAGTAGCCACTAAAAGGGAGCAAATGCCACAACCTCCGTAGTGGCATCAAATTTTACATACTACGTTCATGAAATTCACAAGTCACACATAAGCACTTGCTTTGCTAGCTGAATATATGATAATCAGATGTAGCGTTAAAGATCAAACGTAGGATACAAGATTAAGGCCATATTTTAAATACAAAATTCCCTTTATGCAGACGCATTGCATACTCTGAAAAAGAAACGTAGAAGAAAGTCTGTTTAGAGAAGGTCTCATTCTTTCTCTTTAATTTACATCTGGCATTTGTGGTTGGCGTCATAGCACGTACTGCTAGATTTGTGATGTATGTTTAATGTATTAATATAGAGCATCGAAAGTTTTGAAGAATCAAAAGTAATTCAAAAGGAAACTCATGGTTACACAACTTGAGATAACTTAATAAGAAACAATTTTCAAGAACTTTATGGTCTTTTCCAAAGTCTGAATGGGTAGCACCTGAAAATTGTGAGTTATTCTCTTAATTAAATAAAAAATTTAAACTAAATCACTGTGCACCATCAGTTACTCAGACTCTTCATAGAAAGAAATATTAAAAATTAATTATTTTCAAAGAAAAATATCAAGTTTGTATATGCTCTCACATGAGAGAAATTATCTTTAATGTGATGCTAGAATACCTGATACTGCTGTCAGGGATAGGACTGTGACTTTCTTTGTTATTCCAAGACACAGTATAGAAAGTGTCTAACCGAAAGGGGATGTCAGATATATACACACGCTGCAATGAATATTGTCCTTGTAACTAATTCGATTATAAAATAATAAAATTACTCGTAGCGTTGGTGTGAAGAATAACTACAGCTAGTTGACGTTTATTAAAAAATTTTCAAGCTCAAACAGTACTGCAGAATAATTAGGGAGCTATGAGCTGTCTGTATTGTTAGTCTTGCATACCATAGATGTCCTTACTTACTTAATTTCTCCTTCACTCCTTTTATTTGTTGAAAGCACTTTAAATAACATTGTAGTCCAAATCTAAGTCTAATCTTTCAAACTGGATCCAAACAACTGTGACTTAATGAGAATCAGAAGCTTGAAGCTTAACAAATGAGTTAACCGTCAGCTCATGCGCTGATCAGAACATATCACTGAAACAGATTTAGGAAAAAACCCGAAAGCAAAGTGTTACATGGCAAGCAAGCTAGCTCCTCATGTATAAGTAGGTGTAGATAAGAATAACTCCTCAAAGATCTCCACTTGATGATAAGAGTGTACCATATCAAATATAAAGAAATACCTGCTTGTAACTGTTTCTATTGAAGACATCTGATAACTAACGTGAGGTGTAAAAATAATCATTACTCCTCCTTCCCCTCTCTCAACTTTAATGTGTACCCGCTTATTAGTATTTCATCTGGCAAGCATTTTCCCACCTGTACTGCTGAAAAAGATCCCATCACATAATGAAATTTCAAAAAGGCAATCCATTTTGAATTACTCCCACTGCACAGCAAACCAGAGAGCGTGATGCTATTAACAGATATTATTCATATTAAGATTCATATTATTACTTACACCAGTCAAACAAGTTTTTCCAATGACTATTTAATAGCTACGCGCTATGCTCTAAATTCACTCTCCCATATATGTTATCAGTAAAAATAATCATGTAATATCAACTTCAGAAAGGACTCATACAATTACTGTTGTTCCTGTGGAAGACAAGTTCAATTCATGCAATATCTCACAGTCCTTATCAATTGCTGTTAGTTTAGTTTCTTTAAGGTATTTCATTCACATCATACTACCTTGATTCTGAAAGTTAACTCCATCCATTTAGATGGATCAATGAGGCAGGAATTTCCCTTTATGATAGACATTACTTAACACCTCTTTTTGTCAAAGCATAGAAATCTCAGCATACATATAATACAAACAGTGGCTCTCTGTTAACTGCTTTTGAATCAAAACAAGCAGCCCTTAGGGGCAAAGCCTAACTACATCTCTGCACAAATGGGATTCAGCAGTGTTTTAATACACAAAGAGAAGTAATTTTTCCCATTACGTGCTTGATGGAAACTCCATTCCCCTGCCCTACAGGCTGGGCAGAGTGAGTTGCTTTTCTATTTCTCTACAGTTTGCTACCCTTTATCCTTCTTTTTCCCCAGTCGTCATCTGGCTTCATTCACATTGCTGCTATACGCTCAACTTGTATGCATCTGCCTTCAGCACCACCACTCCTCATTTTCCCTCTGCAACTTCCTTTTCATTCAGGTTCCCTCCTTTCTGCTCCCTCTATTCTCCTGTCCTTTTAACTCCCTTTACTCTCCAAACACCACTTCATGTACACACTCAGTTCCCCCTTCCTGCCCTCTTTGTTCTTGCATAGGTACCTTGTATTTTCTCCTGTATTTTATGATAACATAAAGGGATGTCATCTGCTCTAAAAGAAACTACAGTTTCTTCTGCATACGCTACAGGTATTTATCACATTGAGAACATTAGGACAAGATGACAATTTTTAACTCAGCAAGCTTAGGAGCTTCTCTACGACAGTTTTCCCTGTGAATTTATTCTTATAGATAAATTTTCAAGAACAAAGTGAAAAAAATCAGCAAATTTACTATCACTACAAAATATTTCTTTCCCAAACAAAACATTGCATTGTTCTACTACAGTTTTTCTCCAAATGTTTTGTTGGAAGAGTACCTGTATTTAATAAAAAGAAGGAACTACTGCTTCAGCATATTTTAAAAAGTGCTCAGCACAAAACATACATCATAACTCAAGAACTGCCCCCTACGCGTTAGTAATAACAAGAGACTCCCAAATGCATCTGATCTTTATAGAACAGTTTATAGGCTGACACAAAGTCATCTGAACTCAAAGTAACAATTTCTACTGACTTCATTAGAGTTTGGATCAGGTTCTTCTCTAACATCTATTTCATCTTTGACAAATACGTTCTTCTTTATGTTGGTTGCTCTCTTCTCAGTATCTTTTATTTCTTCAATATTTACTGAAGTTACTCAAAATGGAAAGTGTTCAAGGTATGATTCTGATAACTCTAAAGTCTTTGCTTTGCTTCTTACAGCAATCTAACATCTTTCTGCGAGACGTTTTCTTCAGGCTACCCCTCAGTGACATCTGACACCCCACAGTGATATCATGGTTTTTTGCCCCCCTCCCCCACCGTGAGCCCTTACATTTAGTTCATCACTTTTAAGTGTATTAGAGGACATGGCCTTAGAAACTCTAGCTGCTGCACTGCAAGACACTGCCTCTAAAGCCTTAACCTATATAAAAGGGACTACGTAATGAGGAGCTAATACAAAAACCAGGAATTTACAACACAAGTAACAGACTCCAGGTCACGTAAGGAAGGGGAAAGATGGAAGGCCTGACAATTGTTTAAGAAAAGAGGGTAGCAGAAGTGATTTTCAGCACCAGATCTCACTAACCTAAGGTTAACGATGCCTCTTAACAGTGACTCTGCTAATATGGAAGCGGGCAGTGTTTTTAACAGGAGGTAAAGAACAGAATAATAGTAGACCATTAGAGAATTAGTAGACCATTCAATCTCATGAAACAAGACTCAGCTCTTCTGCTTTGGACCTGCAAAAATATCTTCATAAAACCTTCGTTCTACTGACTTTTTTTTTTTTAATTTGACAAAATATGAGAAAATAGATCAGTAACAGATTCAAGTAAAGATGAGAACCTGAAGTGATAATACAAGATATAAACTGGACACGCAGAATTAAGTACCAAACCTTTCCCTCCCCACCAACAGGGGCACAAAAATAAAATACGTATTGCAAGCCACTGTGACTCTGAGACGGTATCATCCCTAAGTAGTTAACCAATTAACTAACAACTTGATTACAAAATCTGCAAGATAATTTACTCCTTAATAATGTATATTCATAACATTTGAGTGAATATCTCTGAAAGAGTCTCCCCAGCTACAATAGAAATAAAACATATAGGAAGATAGAAGCGATCTTACTTTTTCATCATCATCAGAAAAAGGGGCACCTCCAGGAGTCTTATTTATTGCTTGGGCAACACCAATAATCTCTCCATCGCTGTTTCTTATGGGCATGCACAACAGTGACTTTGTCTTGTATCCCGTCAGCTTGTCAATCTCATCGTTAAAGCGACGATCCTTCAAAAGGAGATAAGGAAGCATTAACGTGCATATCGTACATCTCAGTTTTCTTCAGGCAAAGTACTGTCTTCTCTCAATGTCTTACATAGTATTTCAGCAGTATTGTGTGGTCACTTCTCCGTTATTACCCTATTCCCTCCTATCTGTTTTTCTCAGTTATGATACTGAAAGAAACCTTTCTTTCTCCGAGGACCAGCGCAAGGCTTAGGAAGCACAAACAGCAGTATCTGCTGGTGCGAGGGATGCTGCATCGCGCGCTCGGGGCCTAGACAAAACAGGAGACCCTCACGCCCGCCGCAGCGGCTGCGGCC